ACCTAAAGGATTCTCTGATTCTATGGCTCTTCTCTCTCTGCCCTCAGACTGCGTGTCAGGCCCGTGTCCCTTCGGAGAGGTCCATCTCCACCCCCCGGGGCTGCCTCGCCTCAACAGGACCTTCACCTGGGACGTGAGGGCGAGCACAAAGGCTGGGCTGGAGCTGAGGTTCTCGCCGCCGTGGCTGCGGCAGGTGGAGCCGGGGGAGCGGTGCCCGGGCTCTGTCCGCTACAGCATCCGGAGCTGCATCGACACGGCCGCCGTCAGCATCGGCACCTTCTGCAGCAACGGCTCCATCTCCAGGGTCAAGCTGCTGGGAGGGGTCCTCCTGTCCCTGCACCTCCCCTGGGACTCGCCTCTCCCCACCTCGGGCTTCCACATAGCTAACAGGGCCTCCATAAAGCGTAAGTGCCCCGCCCCCAAACTGCCTCCTGCAGATTGCAGCAGAACTATTTAAATCTGGCTCTCCAGGTCACCTTCTGGGTTTGGTGCTGCTCCCCCGGGCTCCCTTCTGCTTCATCTTTCTGAAACTGCCTTCAGTTTTGGGCCCCTCAATGCAAGAAGGACCTTGAGGGGCTGGAGCGTGGCCAGAGAAGGGCAACAGAGCTGGGGAAAGATCTAGAGCACAGGTCTTGTGAAGAGCAGCTGAGGGAGCTGGGGGTGCTGAGCCTGGAGCAAAGGAGGCTCAGGGGAGACCTTCTGGCTCTGCACAGCTCCTGACAGGAGCCTGGAGCCAGGGGGGGGTCGGGCTCTGCTCCCAAGGAACAAGGGACAGGACAAGAGGAAATGGCCTCAAGTTGCCCCAGGGGAGGTTGAGGTTGGCCCTAAGGAACAATTTCTTCCCCTTGAGGGTTGCCCAGGGCTGTGCCAGGCTGCCCAGGGCAGTGGTGGAGTCCCCACCCCTGGAGGGGTTTCCAAGCTGTGGAGATGTGGTGTGAGGGACACGGGGCAGTGGGGACCTGGCAGTGCTGGGGGAAGGGTTGGACTTGATGATCTTAAAGGTCTCTTCCAACCAAGATGATTCTATGATTCAGAAAGCTATTGTGTGGTTTTTAGTTCAGTAGCTGGTGCTCTTCTGAGGTCAGAATATCTTAGTTTGATTTGTTAGTGACTATGAAAACTGTTGCCTTGCTGCTTTTGGTAGACATTACTCTTTTTCAGTCTCTTTAAACTTCCTAAAACTTAAGCATACCTGCTCTGTTTTTGTGTTTTCAGCTGGGTGAGCCTAGATAGAATAATTAGAGGGAGCCAAGAGAGTTATTTGCTGGTGGAGTGTTTAGTTGGGTTTGTTTGTTTTTAAATACAGCTTCCCTGACTCCTGGAGCCTCCAAGGAGTGCCTCTCTCAGGAGGGGAAGTTGGGAAAGTGGAAGCAGTGCCTGGGAGGCACACGAGGCTGCTTAACTGCAGCTATCTGTTTCAACCTGCACAGTAGCACAAGGTGTTGTGTAATAATCTTAACATGCCTGAAGTATTAACTGGCTGTCAGTGAGTTACACTGATCTCATGACAGACCCTCTCTGGGAGGTGTTCTTGCCCTCTGCTTGGGTTCTGTGGTTGTTGTGGTTAGTTACAAAAGGAACCTGGTCTGGGTTTGAGCTCCTGGAACACTTGGTTTCTAACTCCTGGCACTCCCCAAGGTTGCACATTGTTGCTGGAGCCCTGGAGTGGGACCATCATCTCCCTGCTCCCAGCTTCACTCTGCCAGGAGCCACCCAAGCATGGAGTCCTGCACAGCCTCTGTGCTGTGCACCCAGCTTTTGTTGTGTCTGCTTGAGGCTCTTTGCTGGCATGCTCTTGTTAAATCTGGAGGGTTTTCTGAACAGAGAGCTCTGTGCTGGTATAAACGCTCACATCTTTTGTTTCCCAAAACCCAGGGAAGCAGAAGCAGTTGTCAGGTTGCATGTTTGCTCTTCCAAAGCCAGGTGCAGAAGTAGGAACCTAGGATCTTTCAAAAAAAATGAAAGGCTTATCTGTGTACATGCTTAAAAGGTGAGCCCACAAACTGAGAATGCAGCATTGATACATCCCTAAACTTTCCTGGTGCTGAAAACAAAGCCTCAACTCAAGTATATGTTTTAGAGTGAGGGTTCTGTAATAACCTAACCTGCAGCTGAAGTGGATGACCTGGGGTGCTGGAGATGCTGCTGTGAATTCAGTAATAGTGACTTGGTTTGCATGTGGGTGTTTGGTTTTTTTTCCCCTCTGTTTTAGGGTTATGCATTATTGAATCCACTTTGAATGGGGAGTCTTCAATCACTCTGATGTCTCCCAACTACCCACTGGGCTTTCCAGAAGACGAGCTCATGACGTGGCAGTTTGTGATTCCTTCCAACATGAGAGCAAGCGTCTTCTTCCACAACTACAGCCTCTCCAACTGTGAAAGGAAAGAGGAGAGGGTGGAGTACTACCTCCCTGGCTCCCCCAGCAACCCGGAGGTGTTCAAGCTGAGCGACAGCCAGCCTGCCAATATAGCTGGCAGTTTCAACCTGTCCCTGCAGGGCTGTGATCAGGACGCCCAGAATCCCGGTGTCCTCCGCCTGCTCTTCCAGGTCATCGTCCAGCACCCCCAGGTTGATGAGAGTAAGTACAGAGTGACACCGAGTCCCAGCAGGGTGGGGTTGGGAGGGACCTCTGGAGAACATCTCCTCCCACCCCCTGCTCCAGCAGCTCACCCACAGCAGGGTGCCCAGGGTCACAGCCAGGAGGGTTTGGGATCTCTCCAGAGCAGGAGACTCCACAGCCTCTCTGGGCAGCTGCTCCAGGCTTGCA